CAATAAACTGCTCGTTCACTGTTTTGTGCTTTCCAAATATTGGGAAACTTATGAACAATCTCACCAGGAACCATTTATTCAGGACACAGTAGCTCATCTAGTTTAGATGAATTGATTATGTTACTGATACGTGCATTTAGCAAACAAAATATGCTGGATTCACACATGCCAGGTGATTATAAAGGCGTATGTGTGTATGGGGAAGGCAGTGCTTGAGAGGGTGGACTTTTGGCTTTTTTCACATTAGCACAACGTCCTTACACATCTGTCTTCTCACACTGCAGGAGAAGCAAACAATTTCATCCAGGATAGTGACCATCATGATACACAGCATGCCTACCTCCTTTGTGCAGCTTGGTCCTAAGTGACTGACCAGCTGCTCTCTGGGTCGACATAAAGGTCAAGAACAACAGTAACAATAAACATGTACCCTCCAGAAAAATCCCAAATACACAAACCACCAAAAAATACTGCCTTGAGACTTCATATATTAAAAACAAACCAGCTGACCTCAGGCAGGAATGGCCAGAGAAACACCAAAAAGAAATTCTGTTGAAAGAAACCTTTAGTTCTGAAATGTTCCAAGGCATCAGCAGCAAACATAAATTCTCCTGGGGGGAGGTGGCCTCCAGGCAAGCCTCATAAAAATTCTACAGTTAGATCCAAATGAAAAAAGAATTATAATAAAAAAAATCATAAAATATACAAATTCTACCCACCATGTGGGATACACACTAGAATCAAACAAGAGGATTTAAACCCAAAAGATATCAGACTTTGAGACTGTCAAAGCAGAATATGAAATAAGTATATATTAAATATATTTTTAAAAACAGAAGGAATCAACAAATGTATAAGGAATGAGATAAAAATGGGCCAGGCAGATTTTTGAGAAAATATCTGGTAGAACTTTAAAAATGGAAGGAAAGTAAAACAGATAGTTGAAATTTCAAAAATCAATGGTAGGATTACAGGCAGATTGAGAGAGCTGAAGAGAATACTACGAATCATAACACAGATGTACAAAAAGCAGCCACCATGGACTGCAGACAGGTAAAGAAGTATGGAAATTAAATAGACTTTTTAGAGTTTGCTGACTAAATGACAAAGTCCCACATAAATTCAATGGAATACAAGGAGATTTTTTTTTTCTTGGGGTTTGATGAAAAGCACAAATTTTCAAAATTAGAAAGATCAGTCAAGGGGACGCCTGGGTGGCTCAGCGGTTGAGCACTTCCCTTTGGCCCAGGGAGGGATCCTGGAGTCCCAGGATCGAGTTCCACATCGGGCTCCCTGCATGGAGCCTATTTCTCCCTCTGCTGTGTCTCTGTTTCTGTCTCTCTCTCTGTGTGTGTCTCTGATGAATAAATAAATAAAATCTTAAGAAAGAAAGAAAGAAAGAAAGAAAGAAAGAAAGAAAGAAAGAAAGAAAGAAAGAAAGATAGATCAGTCAATCCCAAGCAGGACAATTAAAAAGAAAGCTGAATCCCATACCAGTCAAATTGATACTATCAACGACAAGGACACAGAAAAGTTGAACCTAAAATGCATATACTAGGAAAAACAATTGTTTAAAGTTCTTGTGTCAAGAACTCAAACCAAGCATTTAAGGAAATAAAGTCTAAGAAATAGGTCAACAAAGTACAAGGATGGTAATAATAAAGCATAAACTAATAAAACAGAAGACAAAGAAATAAAAGAGCTAAATGCCGGATCGTTTCCAAAAAAGGTAAGGAACGAGGCACCTGGGTGGCTCAGTAGGTTGAGCACCTGCCTTCAGCTCAGGTCATGATCTCAGGGCCATAGGATCAAGCCCTGCATCAGGCTCCCTGCTCAGTGGGGAGTCTACTTCTTTCTCTCCCTCTGCCCTCTCCCCTCTTGCTCTTAAATAACTAAAATCTTAGAAAGAAAGAAAGAAAGAAAGAAAGAAAGAAAGAAAGAAAGAAAGAAAGAAAGAAAGAAAGATAGGTGAGAATGACAGCCTTCTAGAAATTTGACCTAGCAAGAAGTAAAAATAATAAAGCACACATAACTGGCCCTAGAAATGAACCAGGCTGGTTAACTATATTATACTCAAAATTTCTAGATCTAGATTATACACATTCCTTTATAAGCATTAAGACAAACTCAAAACAAGACTGAAATCCTGAATCATCTGACATACATTCAATAAAAATGGTATAATTATGCTTCAGCACAATATGTGTGTATGTGTTTCACAATAAAAACCTGAGACTCAGTCGCGGCTGGTGATGCAAGCACAGCACTCTTGCATGCACCCAATGGAGTATCCGTTAGCCATATGTAACTATTTAAACTGAAATTAATTAAAACTAAATAAAATTTAAAACTCAGCTCTTTGGTTTTGGCAGCCATGTTGCAAGTACCATACCGCCACATGTGCCTAGTAAAAGATATTTTGGTACAGAGAGGCCAGGTGAGGTTCTGAGGCCAAGGACGAAGTCATGTTAACAGTCAGTGAAATGGTAACCCTTACAGTGAGGGTCTTTGAGGTGGTGGGCAAATTTTTCTGCAAAGAACCAGATAATAAATATTTTCAGCTATATTGTGGGCCAAAGGATGTGTTAAGAACTCAAATCTGCCGCTGTATTGCAATGCAGCCACAGACTGCTCATCCCCCAGTGGCCATGGCTGCTGGCCAACAAGACTTTATTTACAAAACAGGTGGTGGTGGCCCAGCTTTGGTGCAGAGGTGCTAGTCGGCCAACCCCAGTCACAGGGGAGGGGTGCCGAAAACAACAACAACAAAAACCTATGGTTTCCCATTTCCTCAGAATGCTGTTTGCAAATAGGAGAAAAGTACCGCATTGGTTACTATTTATAGTCCTGTGGTACTTTCTGGAACACAACACTCTCGACCAAGAAAATGCCAGACCAGACCAATTTGGTGTTTGTTTGGTTTTGCACTGCCATGAAAGTAGTCGTGTCCACTGTGCACCAAGCAAGGCCAGCTCTGATTGGTACCATCTCTTTCCCCCGTAGTATGCCTTGCACACTCTACTGAAGAGCCCAGGATGATTCCATGGATCAAACAGGTTCGAATTACGAGCTACCTGGGGACTGTCCTGTCCCTTTAATACCCACCCCGAGAGGCTGAGGGGCTCTGATTAGGGCTGGGGCTCTGACAGGCCTGGCTGGAAATGCGGCAGCAGCTTGTTAAACAGAAGCAGGTGACCTCCGCCTTCCCATGCCTTGTAACAAGCCTCCTCGGGTCTCTGACCCCTCTTTCTACATTTGCTCTTTGCTCCAACGAGGAATAAAAGGCATACTCCCTCTTGCCTGTCACAAAGACGCTGTGTGGAAGGCCTTCACTCAGGGCTGGGGCATAAAGACTGAAAAAGCTCCCCAACCTCCTCGAACCAGCCTTGAAGAGATGAATCTAGCAGAAACCTTGGGCCCCTTTAGACACACAAACACACAAGGTTATGTTGCTCTCTTGAACACCTTTACAAACAGCAGGGTATCAGGTACAGGAGCAAAAACACAGCTCACTGCTCAACAAATGTGAAATACAGCATGAACACAAAACAAACAAAGCTCCCCTTTAGTGAGAAAAAGCCTTCTGAAACCACAGTGATTTCATTCATGTCTAGGAGTGGGCTTAGGGCCTGCGTTTCCCTATGAAAACAGTGTGATACCATCTCTCACATAACTCTTGGGCTTGCCTCCACTCCATTTGGCTTCCCAACTGCCCAGGTGAACAAAGGAACACATTTACGTGAAGAAAACCCAGAGGCAACAATGACAATGTCTGGGCTGATTCTGCATTCATCAATTTGGGAAACGTGGATTATACTTCTTTGATAACTGGGAGTAATATTTAGTAACCTCTGCTGGGAGCTGGGAGCAGAGCTGGTACTCATTACACAACACTGAGCCCATGAGTAACTCTGCAGCTGACATGAATATATGGCTGGACCTCAGTGGCCAAAGGTGTGTGTGTCTTAACAACACACGACATCTTCAGAAAGGTCAGAAGTGCCATACACACACAGGAATAAAGTAAATGAGCATTCACTGAATTTTGCTGAGTCTCCAAGTCTCTGCATATAATCTCTTTTTCAGTTGTTCAGATGAAGTGATTAAAGCTCACAGAGGTTAAAATTGGATCACATAACTAGAAAGGAGGTGACTCATGTCCCTAAGGCTAGACTCTCCTTGACTTATATACCTGTTTTCTTCTATTTCCTGTAAAAGTGGGTTTACAATGATCACATCCTTATAGTATCTGCTGAGTTGAGAAAGTTTAGGGCTGTAGATTACTTCTATACTAAAAATGCAGTCATGATACATATGTACGTGTGTATCATACATGTGTGTGTATGTGTGTACATGTACATACACATAATTTTGTTGCAAAGACTTCATTCCATATTCCCATATCGGGCTCCCTGCAAGGAGCCTACTTCTCCCTCTGCCTGTGTCTCTGCCTCTCTCTCTCCATGTCTCTCTTGAATAAATAAATAAAATCTTTAAAAAAAAAAAGGGGGCAGCCCTGGTGGCTCAGTGGTTTAGCGCCGCCCTCAGCCCAGGGCCTGATCCTGGGATCCGGGATCGAGTCCCACATTGGGCTCCCTGCATGGAGCCTGCTTCTCCCCTCTGCCTGCGTCTCTGTGTCTCCCATGAATACATAAATAAAATCTAAAAAAGAAAAAAAGAAAAAAGAAAAAAAAAAGAAAGAAACAGAAAGAATCTTTGCATGGAGTAGCACAGAAAGAACCTTCCTCCAAAATTGTAATAGGTTGTAGGATCACATTTTAGATTTATTTAGAATAACCAACCTTATTTGGCAGTATGTGGATATTACTAAGGCCTTTAACATTAAGCATACTAAAGAATGAAGGCAAAAAAAAAAAAAAGAAAAAAAAAAGAATGAAGGCAGAGGTCTCATCAGAAAATATATACATCTGCAAGCTTTGGAACATAAGTTTTTTACCATGAGAAGGAAAAAAACAATAGACTCATTTCTGAAACAATACCTTCAAGTGTCAGGTGATTAGTGTCCTTTCTAACTTCTCCAGTAATGCTGCACGGTAACTAGATGGAAAACATGCGTTTTATGTGACCCAGACATCTGACCATGAAGGATCACCTCTGCATCTTCATGAAGAATATCCATTTCCGTGGCACTGTGAGGAAAAGAACAGCAATAATCATAGGGCAACAATGTCTTAGAGAGTTGCCCTGTGGCCAAGCAGTTGTTTTCTCTGCTAGTTGGAACTGACATGAGACACAGAGCTCAATGCAAATGGTCATCGTACACCTATCTCCCCAAGTGCCAGGCTCATAGAAAGGACAAAGTTGCAGCTAAAGTTGATCAATTAGCACAATGAACGTAGACTGTACCAACTCTGTAGAGAGTGTATTGTATTTATTCTTATTCTGACTGTACTTCTTGACCACCTCACGCATATACAGAAGTACTGCTAACTCCCTGAAAAATCTGGGCAAGTAGCCAAAGAACATTCCTATCTTGGCACAGAAAGGCAATTGCCTGAGAAAACATCAGAAAAAGCCACCTCCACCACCGACTGCGGGGCGGGCTCTGAAGTGTAAGGGCAAGTTGCAGAAGCAGAGCCAGACAAGGCTGGGCGAGAACAGATGAATGTTTGGACAACGCCACAAGGCCCCTCCCAATCTGGGAATCACCTAATTTAAATTCATCAGGAATAAAGTGGGGCAAGTTCCTCGTTGTCCAGAAATGCCAACCACACGCTTCATATTCCTTTCATTCACATTTGCACATGAGGGCTTTATTTGAGCCTGTCCTAAAAATATAAATTCAAGATAATCACACTGTATTTTTGCTGTGCACAAGCTGTGTGCAGACAAGCATGCATATGCTCATTAGAAAACTATGTCCATCTTACTGTGCTCACCTAATACCTATTTCATAGTCCTAAGTAGAACTTCTGAGATCACAGAGGAGAAATCCCACACCAGGAGGATCCAGCGGACAGCTGCTGCTGGGATGCACATGGCCATGGGCAACGACATAACGGTGCCTGCCAGGCTTCATTTCTCTTTAAAGGAGCAAAAGTGAAGTCAACCTCTCATGACCCAGACAGAGGATATTTTTCTCTCCATGTCTGTCAATGATTCACCATGTCGATAAATAAATAAAAAAAAAAAAAATTCACCATGTCGTTCTACTTTTTTTTTTGGATTTACAGAAACATGCCTTGCTGGTGGACAAGTTCCTTTTATAAGTTTATATGATCAAATAATACACTCTTTTGGGACAGAAGTGGTCATTGATAAATACGAATTGTGGATGAATTAAACATTTAGATATATATCTAACTTGAATCCTTATGTTTGTTTCCAAATCAAAAGTGTTTAATAGCCCAATGGAGCCAATGATAAGAGCTTGTGAAGCCTGCTGGAAGAGGGGCAGTGATTCAGATTCTGGAAGGTTCTGTGCCCAGTCAGTTGTACATTGGTGGTAAGAGGTAACTGAAATAGTTTCTAAGCTTCTACATGTATTAACTCACTCAACAGAGATCCACGCTACATTTGGATCACTCTTGTCAATACCATTCATTCTCGTCTGTCCTGGAAGTTAGTGAAGACAGCATTCATCGAATGCATGGCATCACATAATTTTAGCACCAGAAGTGATTTGGTGGATCATTGTCCCAAGCTTATTTTTCTTTAAATCTTATTTATTTATTTATTTATTTATTTATTTATTTATTTATTTATTTATTTATTTATTTGAGAGAGCGTGTGCGTGCATGAATTGGTGGAGGGGAGGGAAAGAGGCAGAGGAAGAAGCAGACTCCACATTGAGCTGGAGCCCAACACAAGGCTCGATTGCAGGATCCCGGGATCATGACCTGAGTTGAAGGCAGAGACTTAGCCCACTGAGACACCCAGGCATCCCTCAAGCTTTTTTTTTTTTTTTTTTTTTTTTACGGATGAGAAGGCTATAAAGCCCAGATAAAGGAAAGCCTAAGTTTTATATTTTTTAATGGTAAAGCAAAAAGTAAGGCATGTGTCTTTGTGTGCCTGATACTTTTTCTGCTAAATATTGGAGCCTCTTTAGCTCATATTTGTTTACATTTTGGTTAAGCTCATGTCTTGAAGAAAAGTTTTTAGTCTAGATTTGTGTTCATCTTATATTCCCACCTAGGCTTGAAGCAAGTTGGCAGTGAAGTTTATGTGTTACAGATCTGTAAAATACATAGGCCATTTGCAAAGTCAGCATGAAGGTTGCCTTGGTAGCAAAAATAAGCCCAAGATGAGAAGTGACCTCAATTTACTAAGACAAGTAAGTGATTCAGTCATTCTTTTCCACTTAACCAGTGTTGCTGAAGCATGAGACACATGCTCAAAAGCTAAGAGTATTTGAAAGCACCAGCTTAGCTGATCTTTGGGCCCATCTTCCCTCTTCACAAAGTTTCTAAAAATGATGAAGTACTTGCTTTGTTCTGTGTGGAGGAGCACTTCACAGAAATACAACCACTGGACAGGATTATGCTCCAGAACAGGCTCAAATCCCACTCATTCCTGTACTAACTCCACAGAAGTAGGTATCTATGAAGAAAACATGGAGTAACTCTCTCTACATGTCTACTCAGGTTGTGTGTACAGACCTTTTTGTCTGTCTTCCCAGAAGCTCAGGTCACCCCCACATTAAGGGAAAAGCCACAGACAAAGGATTGACCTGTCAGTGCTTCTTCAAGCTGGGGTACAAGTTTTCTGTTTTTGTTCTGTGCCTATTGCCTCTTTGCATATCTTCCCTCTCCAAATGCCTGGGACAGGAGTTCTCTCTCATCTACTAACACCGATTTTCTGCAGGTGCAATTTCTGCTGAAATTGCGTGGCCTGTCATTGCCCATTATACTGACCGTCTTGGTCCACACTGGGCTCTCCGGGCATCCACTCCCACATCCCAGCTCTCTCTCCTGGCACAGGTCATCTTACCCCCACACTGTCTTTTACTGTAAGCAACCTATTCCGTCATGTTGAGAGCATCCCCGGCTCTGTTCTGGTATTCTCTCTGTTCTCTGTATTCATACCTTTCCAGAGTCAACCCCTCTCCCCTTCCAACCTCCACGACATTAAATCTAACCTATGTACCTGCAGAACCATCCCTCACCAGGTACCCACTCTTACACTCTGGGTGCCTCCAGCCTGTTTGATTATTTCTTTATCAACTGGAGCAGCACTGATGATCTTTATTCAGACTGAAAAATGAATGTCGTTTTTTTTTGCCTTTTTTCCAGCTTTCTGGTTATACCACAATTCTCCTAAGCTGCAAGAAAATCGAATTATGTGGCTCTGTTTGACAGTTCTCTTTCTTTTTGTTAGTACAAGTTTGATTCATATCTATTGATCCAAGGCAATATGCAGGATTCTTTGGAACATCCTTTCAATTTACTTCTTCCTATATTTATCTAAACAGACAACCCTTTCTCCTTGGCCCACATGCTGTTGCTCCACAGCACCCACCCACAAAAGCTTTAAATAGCACAGGCTTGCTTTCTTCCTACATCAGACCTACACCCCTGCCAGCCTTTCAAGTCTTTAAAAAAAAAAAAAACTATTTATTTATTTATTCATGAGAAACACAGAGAGGAGAGAGAGAGAGAGAGAGAGAGAAGCAGAGACACAGGCAGAGGGAGATGCAGGCTCCATGCAGGAAGCCCGACGTGGGACTCGATCCCAGGACCCCAGGATCACATCCTGGGCTGAAGACGGGACTAAACCCCTGAGCCACCCGGGCTGCCCCCTTTCAAGTCTTTTAATAATTTTCCCGAATCTCCTTGATGTACCTTCTAGTCCAGTTAGAGCTTTCTTGCTATTACAGCATATATCCTTCATTTTTATTACAGGGAAGTTGCTTCATTTGGCATAAATGTTACCCTTTGCTATAAAGTTGATCTTTGCTATAGAGCGACATTCTAACATGTTTATCCCCATAATACCTGCCCATAAAAGCCACTCTGCCCCCAGAATTTATGTAAATATTTCACAGCCCCATGTGAAGTTCTATGATCATAGGGCACTCCTGCTTGGGTTGTAAAGGCTCCCCTGCATCCTTAGGGCACTCCGCACCCTGGTATTTCTCTACCCAATACCCACTCTCTCCCTCTTCCTTATCAGAACCATAATGCTGAGGATGACAGCATGTCTGCTGAAAATGCTCCCCATTCCAGATTCCCTCACAACCAGAGATAGCCATGGAGAAAGAAGGCAGACTTCCAGGTGCGTGCTTTTGCTCGAGTCTCTTGTTTTTTCCTACTGACACCTTAGCCCTAGGCTTGGAGCTCCAGAAGCCATCGTGCAAGAATTTCTAAGTCAGAGCAGGAAAATCTCCAGGATCTAAGTCCCCAAGTCATTCATCTGCACAGCAGTCCCGGGCCACCTACAACCCAAGTTCTTGTTATGTGAGAAAAATAAATAAATAAAGCCCTACTCCTTCACATGGCTACAACTTTGCCTTGCTGTATAGTTGGTAGACTATATATTTTGGCATTGGAAAACAGTTGTGCATTGTTACAGATTTATAAAATTATACTTTTTATATATTGTATTCCCCATGATAAGAATTTATCAAAATCAAAAGTAAAAAGTAGTTAAATAAATATAATCTTCCTAGACTCAACTAAGTATTTTCTTTAGACTCAATTTCAATTTCATCCATCAACTCCAGAGCTTATTTTTCAAGTTGTGTGAGTTCTCCAACATCTAGGAGTTCAGAAACTGATGAATGATTTCCATGAACATTGAGAGCTATCAAATTAAGCATGTCTCTTATAGACTGACTATAGAAATGATAAACTTTGGCCACATTAAAGGGGCTAACTGCCAAATTCACCATTATATGTCATTATCAAACACTAAGGGTTAAATACTCCAGATATTTTTGTCAGTGTAGTTAATCTTATTCATTTCAGCCCACCTTGCATTATGTTCTCCTGTGGCCATGGTTTCGTGCCCTCTCCTGCTCCATCTTTGGGCAAGGAACCATGCTCACTGGATATCAAATCAGAGCAGGTACCATATTATGTGCAGGTCCAACAGAGCTGCTTGTGGATAAGTTTGCTGTTCCTTCGCTGGGCAATGACATAACCACTTTCCTCTCCTCAATGCAGCTTCCTAAGGAGAATGAGGTAGCGAC